CTTGAACTCTAGAAATGGCTGAAAAAGGTAACAATATGCAGTGTACCCTTTCCCTAATGTTCACATTTTACCATAATAATCCTTGAGTTGCAGAGTACTGAATTAAAAGTAGGAGACAGACCTAAACAAGCCAGAATGTTTTCAAAAGCAGAGTAATATAAACATCTAACTTTAAAAAGGCTGCTCTGCACATTGCAATCGTAAATGAAACCATCTATAATAAGACAGATGTCATCAAGAGCAAAGGATCAGATCACTAATGCACACATTCAGAGCAAGTGAAAAATTAATAAGAAAAAAATATTATAACCAAAGACAAAGAATGTCACAACAAGAGTAACACAATATCAGATGACAAATAAATTGTGATGGAAATCTCTTCGTGATATCACTGCATCCTGAGATAATTACAGCATTAGAAAAGAACACAGAATATCAGAGAGCAATTTCCATGGTGGTGCTAAATAAACATATGCAATCTGATGCTTAAAGAATAATTGTACAGCTCTATTTACAAGGACTGGTAAGCACTCTCAAGTTTAATAAAGCATTTTGATGTGTTCTCAAGTTTAAACCCCATAGTCTTCCAAGGGAACAAGACAATCCCTCTTTCAAAGCTTATGTGACATACACTGTACACCTGGTAATAATTATCCAGTTCAAATTAATTTATTCTTTAAAAGGAATGTAACCATGTAACAAAAACATAGATTCTTGTAGTAGTTCTTACAACAGGTTCCATGCAAATGGAACTAATTTTGCAGTAGCTACACATACGACTTCTCATTCAACAGCTGGGATATGAATTTCTGACTTTGCAATATAATCCACAGTTTGAAGGCAACATTAAAATAGTTGGACAGAACGCCTTCAGCATGAGCTCTATTAAAAGTGATCTGACATAGAGTTAAGAGTCAGAGACAGTTCTCATTCCATGTTAAATGCTATAATCCCAATACAGCGAGATAGTTACATGCCTGAAACTAATTAAAAACAACTCTTTTATTTGTCAAAAGGTACTGTGTTCCTTTTAGGCTAGATCAACATTGGCAAACACTGTGGTACAATGGGAGCAGATCTGTGAAACGAAACAGTTGGTGATGATCCACTCCCTACACTATACATATTTCAGGGCAGTTCAGTATAGTTCTAAACTGCTTTTTCATTTGAATCCCCATTAAAAGTTGGTGCACAAGAGACACAGCTTTGGAGTATGTTGCCTGGTTTATCTTCATCCAAAAAGACGCTCTGCGATTGCTCTGTGGTACATACTACAGCATGGGAATGGGAATAATCTGGAGGTTTGCTGTCAAAACATACCCCGGCACAAACTGAAGCACCAGTGCAGACACCATGAGCCACTGCCCTCCTGGACTACTGCACGTTCAGGCAGCACCCACAGAACAAATGCAAGAAAACCACAACTTCCCTAGCTAGACTTTAGCCCTCTGGCTCTGAAATGCACGACAAAAGCTATTCAACATATGCACATGTACAAGGCTGAACCTTTACAATCTGCATGAAAACTTCGATCTTAATTGAGTGAAAACAGGCAATATACAGAATCAGCTTCTAGAAAGTGAGGAAGGCTACAACAATTTATCTGGAAAAATAAAGATTTACTGGGCTTATATAGGCCAATAGATTTATTTTTTTGTGAAATCTATTTAAAATTCTATTTTCTAAACTGTTTTTTCAAAAGATGTGTGCTCCCCCCCCCCCCCCCCCCCGTGTCCCTCCTGACAGATGAACCACTACAGAGGAAACACTGCCAACACTCAAGAATGGTTCTTCAAGAGTTTTCTGGCAGTTTTATGAGCTCCTCCTCAAAATTATCAAAAATTTTCAGCTCAAATTCTATATGATACATGATTCGTTTTTTTCCTGACACAGTCATTAAGTACAAAGCTCTAACTGGAAGAAAAGGGGTCAACACAGTCGTCCCTCAGACATATGGACTTTTTTCTTTACTGTGGAGCCTGTCATCATTCATCATACCACCTTTTGCAAGTAAACATTTAACAAAAATTTCTGACACAGCTTTGTAGTGCAGACGTACAGCTCGGTAACGGAAAGGGCCCTCTGCTGGCAGACGCTTTCCCAGCTGTGAAGATCCAGAATTACTGTCACAGCCTGTGCACATCCATCTATTTTGTCACGAAAGCACTTCCTTATTTTAAGTGTCTTGCCCCCCACTATTTGATTTTAAAAGCTTTTTTTGCCCCATGCCCGTCACCCCTCCGCCATCAGGTAACAATCTGAACTAACAAATCCCTCTGATCAGACACATACCTCAACCAGCTGCAAGGAAAGGAAAATTACCTAGAGAGGATTTCAAGACAAAATGAGCAAGAACAGTGAAAGCTTCTTTCATGCACAACGGGCACTCTAGCTTTGTTCCATTTCTAAACTTCTTCAGTCTACTCAGTGACTACTGACTATCAAAATTTACTTGGCTGAGCAATTTAGCTCATGGATAATTCTTAAAAAATACAATGGGTACAAGCAGGATGAGCAGTTCAGCTGAAATTTTTTTCAAGGTGAGTTTTTCATGGTCCATTTGGCTTTTGCAATTAAAAAAGCATTAGAAATGCAGACCTTGAAAGTCTGCTTGGATCATGTTCGCTGAAATGAGGCAAACAACTCAATACAAGAAACATCAATTGTTTAAGAGCTTGAAGAGCCACTTTGACTAAAATGAGACTGCTTCAGATCAGTTCAAGAGTATGAAAAGGATTCAAATTTAATACAGTGCCTTTAATAGCTTTTGTTGACATGAGAGCATAATCCAGCATATAAAAGTGATACAGCAAAAAATATTTTATTCTTCCACTAAAAAATGACAAAATTATGATATTGGGGTAATCCAGAACCTAAACCCCAATCCATTACAATCTGTATATTTTGAAAAGATAGAAACCTGGCTCCGTTTCTCTGTCAACACAAAGATAAGCCCTAGCTGTAAATAACCAAGAACTGAGCAAGGCCAAAACTCAGGGTTGATTTTTATAAAATAAAAGAGGGAGACCCATGCTTGCAAACTATACCGTGCAAACATATCTGCACCTTGAACTCTAGCAGGGCTTAGCCTATGGATATAATATTCATAGATACACGTTTGTACATATAGGTGTGTTTATTTCACACCACCCCAATGCATAACCACCTACATAGTTCTCTTCATAGGGAATATGAGGCAGAGAAGCTACTGTACAGACACACCAGAATGTCTTGGAGATGAAAAAAATAACAAAAAACCAACGAACATCAGGGCCTATCTGTTGCAATGGAGTACAAAGATGAAGTTCATCCAGATCCAGAGAGAAAGCAACAAAAAAGTGTAACTGTATGCCCTAAGTGTAGTTACTTCCTTCTATAATGCTGTAAGCTCATATAGTGAAAGGGACTGAAACTAATAAAAGCATTTACATATACATGCAGGCATGCTTTCATTGTAGTAATGAAAAGTATTCAAGGTAATTTAAAGCTAGTACTTTTACTTGTACTGAACAAACATCATTAGTGTGCAACGGTACGTTAGTGAAACTAATAAGTACCATTACATGACAAGAAAATGCCTGAGGTTACGAAAACGTTTTTCACAACATGCAAGACAGTACAATTGTTGAATGCGTACATGGACACTCTCACAAGAGGCGTACTGCTAGCTGCAGGAATAGCATGGAGGTTTCTAAGATGTCACCTGGCATATTGGGTTGTGGGCATTCTGGATCACAACAATATCAGAAGTCTCGCATAGCAATCATCCAAAATACTGGAGCATTGCCTGCACCTGCAAGGTTTTGAGCCACTGCTTGCTGCCTTCCCCAGAGTTTTATGTACTCTATATATTTTCCACTTCAACTATGCATACCAATCTTCTCACTGTCTAGAAAGCATCACATTCTTGGCTTAGTTTAATATAATTGCGGCACTGACAGTTACTTCAAAGTAAGCTGTACTTCTGCAATATGAAACCAAAGCACAAGATAAACATGAAAGCACTTGCTGAAAGTAAACTGTAACAAAAAGCTTCCTATTGAGTAAATACATCCTTCCATGTTTAAATATTGTCATGGGAAGGAGCAAAGCAAATCTATTCGTAATTATTGTCAGAGCAGAATTGAGAAGATGATTTATTAATAAATTACTGTGCAGATGCAAGCAGTATCTTTCTGTGGTTAGGTGAGCTCTCATTCATAGAATAACATCTTCCTTTTCAGGTACAATCACCTCTCATAATTTATGACTTAAAGTCAAAAACATGCAGCAAAACTTCAAAGGAATCCTTCTACTCCCCATATGCATAATAGACCTCTCCATTTGCTTAGTTTTTCTTTCCTGTGCCAAGTGCCAGTTCCTGCATGAAGAAAAATACGGTACCAGACAATCCATGATCTTGTTTGTTATGGCATACACTATATTTTTCAAAGTATTTAGCAGAAGAACCATAAAGAAATGCAATGCATTATATTTCATTCAAAGGTTGACAATGGAAAAAAAAACATAATACTTTGTTTCAGACAAAAAACTGGGGTACACTATCTGCACCATGAAAAACCAACGTAGTTGTTCTGGAAATTCAAGGACTCTGGCACTACAGGCATGCAGGAAGGAAAAGGGCTAAGTAACAGAGATAAAAGCTTGCGACTGAACTCATTCAATGCTTCCATATGTGCTGAAAGTTTAATTTCTTATGTTTTGGTTAGAAATTTGCAAGGAGTAAACCTCAGTATTGGCCAGCCAAGTCAATGTCAGAGATAAGAGGTCTGTCAGCCAAACTATCTAAAACTATGCTTCAATATCAAGGTCAGAAAAGCTTTGTTATTTCCAAGCAAAACGAGTGTCTGCTGCATGCCTGTTTCACCTTGTGATGTAGCTTGTCTGGCAAGCAGTCCAGGGGGTCATTCTCATTATAAAATAAAGCTACCTCAAGAGCTAATTTGCTCATTTACAAGACGTGCAAAGGGGTTGAGAGGTACCGACTATTCCCTTTTCTCTTTCTAAAGCAAAGCAGAATCTCTTAGGAAAGATGGTACTGGAAGCTCTGAATCCAATGCACTACAACATCACCAGCCTAGTACCTGACACGATGCCAGTGGCCACAGTGCCCATACTCATTTTCATGTGCTTTCTGCTTCTAATATGGAATCATGAAGAAACTTCATCAATACCAGGTAAATTAACTTTAGCTATGGTATCACCTAAAAGCTGTCAGAGTATTTTGTTGTTGTTTCTCAAATTTAAGTGAGAAAGTAATGCTGAATAATGATTGCACACCAAAAAAAATGTACTAAGAGTCAGTTTAAATAATACGTCTTTTTAAAATAACTAATAAAAGAAATCAGGCTCTATTTAAGCTCAGAATTTCCATAATAAACCTGGCTTATTTATATAAGATATGACATGTAGTTTTCTGCTTTATTATGAATATGCTAGGAAGATATTATACCATTTTACAAACTCTAGATGTTCACATTTTCATGTGCATTATAAACTTCTGCTGTTTACATGTTTTAAGTTTTCTAAATTGTCTTTACTAAAAACAAACTACTCTCTAGGAAATTATTCAGATTTTCACAGTTTATCAATTTTTTTCCTCCATGTTTGGCACTGAAGACCCTCCAGAATAGAACACCATCAAATGGTTTCCCTTTTGGAGGGCCCCTTCTGTAATGTTTTGGGGGCTTCTAGCAGACATGACTGATTCGGCCTGGTTTTTATTAGATGCAGTAACAAGGAACTACTGCATGACTGAGAACAGAGTACATGGCTCACAAAGGTGTGTGACAGGACAAACTCTGGATCAATGCTGTGGCACCTGAATGAAATTCTGAGAAAAGATCCTTGCCAAACATCCTTCAGTATGCTAAAACTCTCCAAAAGCTAGAGATCAGGGGGAAGCATTCACAGCAGGTTATGCATTCTATTTGAGTGCTTGATGGGATCAACCAGAAGACAGAACTAAATTCATATGCTTTAAGGTTACAGATATTTAAATAATCTGGGTGCTTGCAATTCCTCTTGGTAAACAGTGCAGGCATAAGCAAGTTTTTCATTTTTAAACAGTATACAAAAGTTTTGTAAATACTCAATCTTTTTGTTTTATGGAGTTAAATATATGTTTTACAGACAAAAGAGGCAAATTAAGCTTTCCTTGAAGAAGGAAACTTCCTTTTAAAAGTAATTAAAGGCAAATTCTCTCATGCTGTCTCTACTTTCTCCTTTCTGTTATGAGAGGGAAATTTGGTGCTGAGTTACAGTGGAAGGATTTAATTGACAACTTTGTTGACGAAATGCTTATTAATCCATTCTTTGCTCCTACTTAAGCACGTTTTCATAAGTTCACAGCAGTGAAAGTAACTTTTCCTTCAAATACCTGCTTTCTCTAGTATTAATGACTTTACAAGAAATGTAATTGACTACATTGAATTACATCAAGAGGGTTATTGACTTTTGTAGGTGTTGCTGTGTGCTTCAACACAAAAATCAATCAGAGGATTTACTAAAATCACAAATTAATAAACCATATGCATTTTTTCTAGATAATTTCTTCTTTCTGTTATCTAGCCATTGTACCTCCAAATGTAAGCAATCTCATCAGTTGTACATACATTGGAAGGACTATAGGCTTCAGCAGATATAAAGTGAGACTTCAGCAGCATAGGTGCAAGTTTCTCTAAGACAGAACTTCAGAACAGGATTGTGTGCGTGAACTGCCCAATGCAGACCTCGACTGTCATGTTAAAAAGCTCATTTCAAAAGGATGATTCTCAGAGGTATGTTCTTGTCAGTGAGTACCACCAAGACCAAACTTTTCTTACCCTATTTCCTAGGGCCAGGATACTGCATGGGAATCGGTCCCCTCATTTCACATGGCAGATTTCTCTGGATGGGAGTAGGTAACGCCTGCAACTACTACAATAAGACATACGGAGAATTTGTGAGAGTTTGGATCAGCGGTGAAGAAACATTTATAATTAGCAAGTAAATCCTTATTTTCTATCCTTAATAACATGAAGGGCTTTTTCATATTTTTATGACTTCTTTGCCACTTTTTTTCTGAGGTAGAATTGAAGTTATTATTTTCAAAAATTATCCTAACATAAACCTTTTACTTCCTGCTGTTCACAGATATTTTTTAATATTTTGTTTCTTTAAAGACACCATTATTGAAGTCTACATGAATTCTCCCACTTTCTTCATGGAATGGAAGATTGAGTTCTGTGACTCAATCCTGAAAAATTCTCACCGTCTCTTTTACTATTCCATTTAACATTAGGATTACACACTGTACAGGAACCTAGACTGCAAAGCAGGATTAAGCCAAATTTTAGTTTACTGTGCTCTGACGTTTCTTCTTAAAATGGGAGTAATGCTTGAAGATTATGGCTCCAATTTAGCAAGTTAATTAAGCAAATGCAGCATTACAGGATTATGAGTAATTCCATTCCAATTAATGGGATTACTCATAGGCTTTGATTATACACAGCATTAAACATAATGCTAAACCACAGTCTATCATTTTAGCTAGCTCCAGTAGTTCACTGCTTTCTTCTCACATTGGATCTTCCAGATGTTTGAGTTACACCATGAAAAAAAAAGTAGTAAAACATTTACCATGTGCAATTAATAATCACAACCTTTTTATTAGCAACATCGACCAATCCATAATCAGCTTTCATTATGCAAAAGCTTTTGAAAGACAATGTAGTACAGAGGACTATCACAGGATCTACCATGTGAAGCAAGTCGGCTTCACCTCTGTAAAAGAAGCAATAATGACAGGGAAACTATTTACATTCCTATCCTACATCGGTGTTGTCAACTAACGTGCTATAACGTTTTGATAATGTAAAATGCTATAAACTCTTATAGCTGTCTTCCACTTCCTGTACTACCAATTCATCAGAAACAGATCCGGAGTGCTCACAAAGCAAGCCACCGCTGCATCAGGCTTTACAGTCAATACACCACTTCAGACATATTTTTTGCTTAAAAGCATTGACAGTACATAGAGTACTAGTATTAACTTTTTTTTAAAAAAAAAAAAAACAAGCAATAATGTAGAATAAAGTTTTCAGTGGATCATACATTCACTGCAAAACTAAACATAACCTAAATTCTGCAAAATTATACTATTTCTACCAACGATCTCTGATTTTTTTTTATCAAATCTAATCATAGAGAGATGCTAATTCACAGAGACAAGGATTTGCAGGTTTGGTTACAAGAGATGTTGTTTTTTGGAGGACTTCATTACATATTTTCATAAGGAAAATCTGTTTGTACAAGGTCAGATGTCAAAATCCTTCCTTAAAACATTGTTATGTGTCTCCTGTGTATCTACACGTGTGGAATGGAAGGAAGCAAAATGAGCCTCCTGCACCTTTCTATTCCTGGGGACAGCTAACATAATTCAATATCATCTTGTCATGCTGATGAAAATACAGATGATGTTCCTAGATGTGCAAAAAACCTTTAAGAAAATAGGAAGAGAGAGCAGATGTGGGGAAGTGTAAGAAAGAGAGAATATGCTGAGTTTCCTGGAAAGCTGGACCCGCAGACACTCTCCTCCCTGACTCCAGTCCTTAACCTATGTTTGCCTCTTTATACCATACAGCATCTCACATTAACTTTACTTCTGGTTAAGCAAAACTATGGTGTAAACCCAGCACCGCCGAAGTCAATAGCAAAAGCCCCGTTTAATTTGCCCGACTGAAAAAATAACCTAACTCATGTAAGAAGTCTGGGATTTAGTCCATGTAGTACGCTACACGGTGAAGAAAGCAGCGTGCTGTTTCATTTCAATCTCTGCTCTGATTTGCTTTCTTCTTGCTGGATTTCATTTGATTAGGTTTTCATCACATCAACATTTCTAAAATGTGAGCTCCCTCTAAAGGAAATCCGCTCTTGAAGCAATAATGCTGGTCACCACCTGTTTTCCAGCATGTGTAAACAGACCTTGTCAACTGTAAGAAAAATCACAGATTCCCCCAACATTTCTGTTTAGGAATATTTATCTCACACATATCATCATAATATGACGCCACATATTTAAATGATGCACATATATATTTATCCTTTCTGTATGTGTTTGGGAATGACAAAATAGCTACAGTACAGCTGTAATTTAATACACATCATGATGAAATTATCAACTGTCAAATATTTTACATCTCATCTCCTGAAATACCCTCGGACAATGACCAGTGTCAGATATCTTATATATTTATGTGTTTCTATGTATACACACTATTCAGACTAAAATCTTTTGGTAACCATTTGCATTTTAACTGAAAAATAATTTTAAATCTAAATGGAATACATTATTGCTCTAATATACATTCTGAAGACATCATCAAGTTACTTAATTATGTAAAAGGAACAACATTTAATGTCAAGCACTGTACATGCTAAATTGAGAATGCAACTCAGCAGTTCAGAACAACTATAAGATGTCAGAATAAAAATTCTATGTACGATCTACAAAACAGCTTGTTTCTCCCTGTTTCTTTCCCAGATCCTCAAGCGTGTTCCATGTAATGAAACATTGGCATTATGCTTCTCGATTTGGGAGCAAGTTTGGATTACAGTGCATTGGCATGTATGAAAATGGGATCATATTTAATAACAATCCAGCACACTGGAAAGAAATTCGACCATTTTTCACCAAAGGTAAATCAATGCGCATTAATACACCACATCACTGTAGCACACAGTCAATTTTTTCTGAAATGCTGTTTGTCCTTTGCATGCTTAAATTACAGAAAGCAGTTCTTTTTAAATATCCCAAATAAATATTTTATTGTACATGTTCTTTCACACCTATCCTGTTCGGTATGCTATTTGAAATAGTCCTGAAGTAGTTTTGCAGATTCTTAATCTCATCCAATTAAATAAAATTAAATGATGCCCACACACCATATTTTTAAATGTTTTTACGTTTCAAGTCCAACATTTACATTAGCTCAATTGGCACTTCCATAAAGGTAGTTGGTTGTTCCTATCGAGCCTCCACTGAGTTCAAAGACTCTTCTGTCTTGTTCTAATGGAAAAAAATAAAGTGCTTTTGTTTCAAAATTAATTTAGAAGATTTGCACAGCAGAACTATTTATTAATCCCTTTAGTATGCTAAGAATCAATGTAGTAACAGAGAAAAAGATTGAAGCAATTAATATCACTAAGTTGAAATCAAATAGGAAATTATACACACTTCAGTATTACTATTTTGCGAGTCTGCAATTTTTTGATTCACCTTCTTTCCACAAATTGAAAATGTTCAGTATTTATGTATCATTAGAATTAGCTACTTCCAATGATCTTACAACCTTCCCAACAGAACTGCCACACTTGTTCTGCAAGATCCACGGTTCCGAAAATATTCTCAACAGCTGAGACTGCAGTAGTTTATGGCAGTGATTCCAGATTCTGAAAATGAAAGTGAAGCAGCACCTAAAAGAAATTAACTATCTATTGGTTCAAATTTTCTACATTATTTTGTTGACATACGACACTTGGGCCTTTCCTACATGATTTTGCTGTTGAAAAATATCAGCAATTTAGTACTGATTGAAGATGGCAAGAAATTTTCGTTGTTGTTGTTCTACTTGTTCCTAGAACTCAGTTCTCTGTATTTACGAAACAGACATCTTCTCAACTACAAACACACAAACCCTCTCAACGTATATTTGATAAAATAATGTCCTTGAGGCAATTACAGCAATTCTTGTATGGGAAAGTAATTTATAAATAGACTACTTAGGGCAAGATTTCCAAAGTCATTCAAAAATTATCTGAATCCATTGCAGCTGGAGCCTATCAAAATCCCACTGAATTACATAGCAATGGAACTGACCACTGCTTTTGGTTGCTTTTGATTTCTGAAAATGCAATAAATCCACCATGACAGTATCTCCACTACTCACAGGTGGACAGACAAAGGTAGGCTAACACATTGCGTGCTGCCAGGCTAGGCTTCAGTCCACAGCAACATGACAGGCTGCCAATAGCTTACCCCAAAGCTACCATGCTGTTTATGAGCACCCAGGAGTTATGTTTGCAGAAATTCCCGCCATCCTCCCCACAAATCCCCAAGCTGTCTTCCCTGCAAGCAAAGGAGATGGGACATCCACAGTGCCTGTAATGCAGATAAGGGTACGGATAGCCTCCCACACAGAAAGGCAGCACAAATGATGCCAAACATCTTTCCTTAACACGGTACGAACCTAGCGTAAAATGCATGTCTCAGGTACAAAGTGGCTGGATGCAAGGCAAGTTTGGGCTTTGAGTTTGTTGCCATTTTAACTCAAATTGCTTACAGTTTTTTTTATAAAGAACGATTTTACACCAATCACTCCCACGATAATGTTTCACATTTTATAGACACCATTATAACCAAAAGTTATAAATAATGTATGAAACTTAACCAATCTTTTTATCATTTTGCACATATATTTCAGCTCTGTCTGGTCCTGGCCTTGTGCGTATGATAGCAATCTGTGTTGAATCCACAGTTGATCACCTGGACAAACTAGAGGAAGTAACCACTGAAGTAGGAAACATCAATGTGTTGAATCTTATGAGGCTGATCATGCTTGACACATCTAACAAGCTTTTTCTCGGGATACCTTTGGACGGTATTAACAGCTTTATTTTTATACTTTATGATGGATCTAAAGTGCACGTCCAAAGAAAACGCTGACATCACTCAGCAGTTTTGTTTCAGAAAACAGAGCAAGAACAGACTCTTACATCACCATATATAACCAATTGAAATTGACTTTTGAGTGATTTTAGTTCTAAAAGATAATTTGATATGACCAAAGATATATATTAACTTGTCACACCTTAACAAATAGTACCATTTAAAGAGATTTTTATGCACTGAGTAGGTACAATCCCAATATTATATACATGTAAGAATCAGAAGTCTTTCCACCAAACTCATTTCCTTGAACACTTCACCTGACAATTTACGTCTTCTGTGATTTATTCACCCTCGTAACCACATGACAGAATTAACATTATTGTGATGTATAAATTATCCTATTTCAATATGCTGCAAGAGTTCTACTACTTTTCTTCTGTGGGAGACTATTCGGCTCTGGTTGACACACCACTATCTCCTAGCTAGCTGCCAAGAGTTTTTACAAAAATCTATACCTTTTCTACAGTGTACTACAAATGTCTCTTAATGTCGTCTGCCACATACTAAAACCAACTGTCTATCAAATTCCCACAAACTTAGAGTAGGGAACACGTCCTTCTTATTAATTTTTTGAAGCATTTGTGTTATTTAACTATTGGGGTTTATATTTTATGCTGATTTTTGTTAATGTTTATTTTCAGAACATGCCATTGTACTTAAGATTCAGAATTACTTTGATGCTTGGCAAGCACTTTTATTAAAGCCCGACATCTTTTTTAAGATTTCTTGGCTGTGCAAGAAATATGAAGAGGCGGCGTAAGTATCAACAGTTTTACAAGTGATTTGCATAAGATCCATTCTTTCTAAGAAGGAGATCTTTCTCAATATTTCCCTCTGCCTTTCAGAAAATAAGCTGCGAAACTTGCAAAGGTTACAGTTCATCAGAAAAAGAAAACTCATCTGCATGCACAGCACTGTCCCAGAAGAGTTAACCCCTGAGCATAATTCTATTTATTGGTGCCCTCAATGTGCATTTTTGAGTGAATAACTCATTTTGAGTTAAAACTTGGTGCTCAGCTTGATAATCCATTTAAAACATTTTTTTCCTAAGTAAGGAACAAATACATTTTGCCATCTTCCTCTTTGCAAAAATACAAGATGCCTCTTCTATTTTTATGATCTCATTTGCTGTCTCCTGCCAAAAAAGGACTGGATATAAAAAGAACTGGCAGTTTGTTCATTTTGGATTCAGATTCCATCTAGGGAGAGAAACTACTACTTATGAAGCATGTGTAATAAATTGTTTTGATAGTGCTATATAACATAAAGACCTCAAGGGAAAGACGGAGCTCCATCTAAAGTAACTGACAATTCTTAGGAACTAGACACAAGATTTAGCTTCTCTAACATTTGCTTGGCAGTTTTATTATGGCAATGATTGGCACTTTATCCTGTGATTCTAATAATAGCTAACTGCTGTGGCCCAGTTATTATCATATATTTCTACTGAAAAAAAAATGATAAAGATTGCTGGACTTAAAGTAATGCAAAGAACCACCACAGGATACGATAACAATATCCTGATAAAGATGGCAAAAAGGACTATTTACTATTTCTAGTACATAAGAAAAGTTACAAATAACTAGAACTTTACCAGGCTTAAAGTTTAAAAAGCATTTATCCCTATCATCCCACTCAAATTTTCTACCCCAACAATAACAAACACAAATGGAAAGCCCAAGGATTTAATTCAAAACTTTTCAAAATACTTTTTAAAAAGAATTGCCTTCAAATCTACAGCTAACTGAAAATCCCAAGTAAAATCACAAAACTTCTGGACTTTGATTTTGTCCACCACTGCAATACAAACTGTTGACAGAGTATTACTATTTAAAAAATGAAAATGAAAAATTTAGATCAACTCTACCCTCAAGTTAGAAAAATGTACATAAATGTTAGAAAAATTATACTAACAATTATCCATCAAGTTCTCTAAGTTCATTTTATTCCCTAATAAAATAAAGTATAAAATAGAGAGAAAAAAACAAATTCTTTGGAAATTATAATAAATCTTTTAAAAATCTGTTCATTAATAGGGTATACAAAAACATTTTCATCCCTTTCAGTCTATCCTATAGAGAATAAGATTTCAGTCCAAACATGTAATTATTTGATAAGCAATAATGAGAAAATACACCTTCCCATAGTATTATTGCTTTTGCAGAGAACCATATAACCACTCTTAGGAATACTTAATTTCTGCCATTCTTCAAGGTTTTTATTGGTATAGTCTCTATGTTTCTAATCATATCCTAGCATATACTAAAAGTCTGCAGATATTTATCAATATGTTGGATTTTATCTGTTTTCAGCAAGGATCTGAAAGGAGCAATGGAAAACTTAATAGAACAGAAACGACAAAAGCTTTCCACTGTTGAAAAGTTGGATGAACACATGGATTTTGCATCCCAGCTGATTTTTGCACAGGTATTGGCAATGTACTCAAATCATGGCTAACTTTAATTTTTCTGACATTGTCCTGTCGCTAACACCACAGGCTTTGCAACTTAAATTTCACGTTATCTATCTGTAAGTCATGTCATCATAAAGGGATGCAAATCAGTTGGTTCCAGGGAGTCCCTAACATCCCTAAAATGAGTAGTTACATTTTTGGGAACAGGTGCTTGTCTGATTTTTTTTTTTTTCATGTCTTAAACAATATCCTTACAAGTCTTGCATATATCCCTGAATGTCCTCCAGTCTTTCCCCAATTCCTGTATTTTATCTTGATGTATTGCCTTTTGCTGGCAAGGCTTCAAATGCTATGGAAATCCTCTTTCATGTAATCTCTGACAGCTCACAAACTCTGTGAGGAAAGATAATAAATCAATAAAAATCTGAGCTAAGGACAAACTCTTGCTTTTCTGTAACGTAACACACACCCATCAAAACAGGAGTTTTCTGTTTTTCTCTGAAAGACAAAAAATAAATGCTATTTAAAATATGACAGAGACACTGTCAAGATTTTTACTTTTGTTTAAAGCAGATATCCTAAGTATTTCCCATTCTCCTGTTATAGGACCTCTGTTGGCATCAGAGGTCAGTAATCAACATTTTCCCCCAAATTTCCAATTTTTTTCAGAACAGAGGGGATCTGACTGCCGAGAATGTGAACCAGTGTGTGCTGGAGATGATGATTGCTGCTCCTGACACTCTATCTGTGACTCTCTTCTTTATGCTAATACTGATTGCAGAGCACCCCACAGTGGAAGAGGAGATGATGAGAGAAATTGAAACTATTATGGGTAAGCAGGAGCTGCAACGTCACTGACGTGTGAATATAATTTTGCTTCAGCAGTGATCTAATTTTGATTATTCAAAGGCTGAAAATTCAAAGGAAAAAAATTTTCTACTAACAGAAGTATTTGCTGCAACATATATGAACTACTGTTACATGTAAAAGACTTTATTCAGATCAAATGAAAGAAGATGACCAATTTGTAAGATAAATTCAAATAGGAATCATCAGAACTGACAATCTATTAGAAAGAATGTGCTATGTTCACTCCTCAGCAACACCACTGAAAATCAGCACTCACCTTATAAGTTTACCTTGAAATAGCAAAAGGGGACACTCATTTCAAATACTGCTAATCACCAATATTTCCCTGTGTATATATAGAACCTAAGTTCCACCATGACTGCAGAAGGGAAAGATTAGAGAAAATTAAAATTGTATTTTGCTGTCATCCATTTTGATATCAAACTGGTCTCCTCTAAGTACTAATTACTAACTATCCAAAACACAATCAAGATCTGAATTTGTATTCTTCCCTTTCTCTAGACTTCTTTCAAAGTCTGACACTGAACTAATACAGACATTCATTTCATCCACTCTTATTCAACACTTACTTCCAGTCAGTTAAACACTGGAAAGTGTATAGCCAGTCCTTCACTCTTTTTCTTAAGTACTTTTAATAAACCTCATTTTATTGTCCTCATGAGACTTGAGTGCTCACTCTTCTCTATTTCATTCTGATGGCCTTCATTTCTAAGGCAGTAGAATGTTGTTGCCTTTTCCTTAAGTAAATGACCAACTGGAGTAGCAAAGCTGCCTTTTCTCTTGAAAAATCTGCCACTGCAATGGTTAGCCTGTAGTTCTCGAACTGCTTGTGGCTTGAAAGTTGAAGTAAGGCTCCGAATGCAGTACGCCGTGACACTGATACTGCTGCTGAGGGAATCAAGATGTGAGTTACTCGTGGTTACTGAAATAGTCAGACCACAGTAGGACCTCACTGTACATCTAGCCAAAACCAAGTACATGGTAAATATTTAAGGCCCCTACAAAGTTATGTCCCATTTGCAGACTATTCCCAGATTCCATTCACTGTCAGCTCTCAGAAGACTACTTTGTGTGTCTTGTTGCTCTCAGTCATACAAAAGTCAGGGAAGGACTTTCAGAGTTTTGTCACTGACAAGAAAGCAGAACTAGGACTCGTAAGGTATTAAGAAGAAGATAAGGTGAGAAGATTATAAATTAATAAACTAGGGTTTATGCTGATGAACAATATACCAGATTTCCTGAATATGTAAGACTACATAAAGCTACTTTGAAGCTGTTGAATCTTCCCTACCATTTCAGGAACTGAGAATTCTTCCAAAAACGTTTTTGTATTTGTACAATGCAGCTATTAAGTTTATAACCAACTTCTCCACCATCTGTTTTATTGCTCAAGGTGACAGAGACATACAGAATGATGACATGCCGAACTTAAAAATCGTGGAGAATTTTATTTATGAGAGCATGAGATACCAGCCAGTTGTGGACTTGATCATGCGAAAAGCTTTACAAGATGATGTAATTGATGGTTATCCTGTGAAAAAGGGGACAAACATTATTCTCAATATTGGACGTATGCATAAGCTTGAATTCTTCCCAAAGCCAAATGAGTTTTCTCTTGAAAATTTTGAGAAAAATGTAAGTGTTCTATCTTATTTCTTAAAGGAAATTGGGTGTTATTTATTGACAATATATCTTCCTCTTGTTTCGATCAAGAACTTTGTGACCATATGACTGTTTTCCCTTTGTCTAAGTGCCTAGTTAGCTATACATCCTGCTTATTACTATTATTATTAAAGCTAGGCAGATATTTTCCTATCAAAGTGCCTTCCAATTAAAAAATAATTATGATACTGAAAACGAAGTTTTCCCAGACTTCTTAATTTTGATTAAAAATTTCTGATGAAATTTGTCAAAGACACTGGTAGTTCCCATTATATTCCCTGACACTGAACAAAATAAAGAGGCTTTAGGGAGCTAGAGCCATTCAAGCAGTACAACTCAGAGCTGAGGCCATGTGAGGATTCTCTGGAAAGGCGAAGGGATATAGTAACTCCTGAGAGACTGAGAATCTAGCACCCATTTTATTCTCTCTTGTTTATTTTTATTTAGGAATTAAAAAATAAAAAATCTTCTATAAACCAAAATGGAAATCCTAAGTTTTAACCAACTCCATACTCCAAGTGTGGAGTACTTCGTCCCAGTTCATCACAGCATTTTAGTTATATTCTAACTCCCAAAAGAACTAGAATGTTCTTTAGTCTACATTACCGAGTCCTGTATCAAAAGGAATATCTGAATTTTTTTTCCTACTTGTAAACCCCTACTATTGTAAAGCATCCTTCAGATTATTTACATTCATTTAGACCTCTGCTTTTCTAATTACTGATTAAACAAATTGTTTTGCAACCTGGAGAGATTAAAAATGCATTGAAAGAAAATAGTCTGATTCTATGGCACGTTTGACTCCTTGTTTTTGACTATTAACCAGTGCTAATAGAAGTGGAAGATACTGTGACAGAGAGCACAAAATATGAAATATAAAGGCTTGGTTAGCACTCCTGCGAGGGAATTAGCAATATCTTTGGAATAAATAGCCATGTAAGAGTGGAGGGCATAATGAACTTCGTTCTGTGAAGGGACTCCGAACGGCAGAATGTCAGCCTTACTATCATAGATACACACATTTTCGTGGTATGCAAGTTTTCTCTTACATTTTCTAGCGGTTTGTCAAATATTGCAGTTGAATGGGGTTGAAGCTAAAGAGCTAATGTTTTCTATAGCTGTCACACTTCTCATTTTGACTAACTAAAAGTGTTCGGAAATAATGTTATTAACCAGCAAAACTTCTTTGAGATGTTAGTAGCTGCACTCATAAGCATCCACAGATAGTAAGTTCGGTTTTCAAGAAATAAACAGATGACCCACTTTGATACATCAAAATGGGCTTACTAGTAAAAACACCAGAAGAAATAATTAAGAAAGTCAAGAAACAAAAGATATGAATGTTCAAGCCAGAAACACACCTCCAAGTTTTACATTTTCCTATCAAAAATCTAGGAGTACCATGATTGCCACAGATACCAATGAGCACTAAACAAACCTGGTTAATATTTCTAAACTGCTGGTTGATTACCTATAAAAAACTCTGCACACAGTATTAAAAAAACAGCTCAAGAAAAAAGCAACTGTAGAAAATTCAAGAAGAGAGAAAGTGATGAAGTTTATTGAAATAACTATTCTCTATGGAAATTTTCCATTTTGCCACCCATTACTGTCATTCTAAGCGTTTCTATCAACATGGATTTCTTGCGTATTTTATAAGTACACTTTGCTACTAAAAATATTTCCCCTTGACCAAATATTTAACCACACATTTTCTATCTGACTTGATGCATTCTGTTTGCCACATAATTATTCTGCAGGCACAACTTGCACACAGCTCTCTAAGCGAACAGCAATCCACACCATTATTTATGATAAGATGGCATTGTTAGAATCTAAACATTCCTCCATTCTCCCAGGCCGTGCATTTGCCATTGTGCTGTACTGCCAGCTGCTGTACTTGCTCTGTATCATAAATACTCGTATTCACCTATATTTTTTCAAAAAATACAGCTCAGTTCATTTGAAAAAAATTTGAAAACATTTTTCTCAGTCTGAAAATGAGAGAAAACGACACTTTTTCTAGCTAATTTAATACAAAGCAACCTTTTATACTCTATTCTTGGGTTAACGAGGAAGTCAGAACACAGCTAATATCTTACCTTTTTTAAAAGGCAGCTACACAGATGAAGAAAACCAATTTATTTACAGTCAGGCTTGCTTATCCTTTCTCATGACAAGTACCTTTGTACCTCATTAGCAGTACTATTCACGCCTTTGGGACTGTTTTGGATAGCTCACTTCTTCAATGTCAGTAAAAGTAGCAGAAGCTGGCTGTGCATTCTTCAACAGTTCTGGGAATCCTGCATTTCACATTTTAATTGATAGGACAGGAGACAATAATTTTATAAGTGTTCTCTCTCTATTAGATATCAACATAAATTTTCAACATTACATTTTATGACAAATTAATTCTCAGGAACACTAGCTTTTTAATGACGATTGTAATGGGTGTATGGCTTCATGATTATCTTCAGACAAGGCATCAGCCTTGTCTCAGACATTTATGAGCTTCATAATGAAGATTTTCTGAAAAAGTTTTTAATGAACTTTAATGTATATTGAAGAGCAAAATCTTCACTCCATTTCACAGCTTGTGGTAAAATCGCTGTAATTCACAGGATGAACGGAATGAAACACACCGGCAGAATTCGACTGCTTGACTTTACATTCCCTGCTATCTTTGCATTTCAAATGGCAAACCTTCTGCAGGCATCCTCCTGTATTTTGGCCTGACTTGGGTGGGAGGGCTGTTTAGTGTAAAGGAAAGAAGTAATTGCTCTTAAGAGATTCTTTCCACAAGTTTTTCAGAAAATATTTACTACCAATTTCCATCATAATTTTGGCTACTTTTACAAAGAAAAATTTGTCTTAAAGATTATTCCTTGTCTTATTTTGTGCAGGTTCCTTCACGCTATTTCCAACCATTTGGATTCGGCCCTCGGGGCTGTGTAGGAAAGTTTATTGCCATGGTAATGATGAAAGCAATTCTGGTGACCCTTCTGAGACGCTACAGAGTACAGACAACAAACGGAAGAGGCCTTAACAACATCCAGAAAAACAATGACTTGTCCATGCACCCAATAGAAAGGCAGCCTCTGCTGGAGATGGTATTCACACCAAGAAACACAAACAAGAATCAGGGTGACTAAAATGGATCAGCATCAGCATTAAAGTTACAGGGCTTTCTCAGCCACAGCCACTAAGAAATACCCGTCATTCCTAGGTAAAGATAGAGAGTAAAATATTTTGTTGCCCCTAAATCACTATGGCTTCAGAAGACAACCTGTTCTGCCAGCACAGCAGAACCAGGTTCTGGTCACAACTTCAGTGTAATGAAGTAAGACTAAAATTACAAAATAGTCCTGTCGCTGTGCAGTGCCACACTATATGCAGGATTCCTGGCTACTTGTTAAAACCGTCAAGTTCAGATGAAGTGATGCTTGCTTTTCGAATGGTGCTAGTTCAGAGGTTTGGGGGTCAACAAAAGAACATGCCTGATGTGCGTTTAATTCCAGGACTACGTGTGCCCCCCTTCCCCTCACCTCCCTGAAGCTGGATCTGGTGGCATTTAACTACTGCAGAAGCTCCAATTATCTGTTTTTGAAAACATCTAACGAATGGTAAAAAAGTTGATGTTTAAGACTACGAAACAGTTTAAAATATCTAAGACAGATACAAGTTATAAAAAAATGTTTGTACAAGAAGTCATTGAAATGCTTTTCTTTACCATGTTTTGCTGTCATACACCAAAGACTCGCAGTGTCAGATTTTACTGATGGGAGAAATTTTCAGAGCACTAGGTAATACAACAGTTGAGATAACTGTTCCACGTTTTTAAAACCCCACGTCCTGCTACGGAGAATCTGTAAACATCTTAGTAATGACCAGCTAAGAATCAAGTAATGAATATGAAACATTACCACTAGCATCACACGACACACACAGGCACACACAACACAGTCAGGTCCATCTCATCTGGTTAAGTGTAGAAACTTCCCATGTCACCTCAGTTTGGTGAGGAAGTTCAAATTCTCTCTAAGCTGCCTAAGCAGTACCAAATATTATTTCAGTCTGGTTTTAATTGTTCAATTCTACTTCAGAGAGTAAGACTTGGAGTTGTTGCCCTTGTTCCACACCATAACAGGGAAGAAAGTTCCCCCTTAATTATCCACATAGCTCTTAGTGCTTCTCCTGAAAGAGCGCTGGGCTGTAACCCGCTCTCAGGCATCTTGCTTCATGCCCACTAACTTAAAGACAGTCAGTAGCATAAGGAGAGAAACAGTGCCTCAAGAGGTAGACTTTTTTCCTCCTTTTTTCTTGAAGGTAAAATGGGCTTCACTCATCTACTCCAGGTAAGATGCAAGTCTCGTTGGGTAAATTCTCAGAGTTTTGTAGTGACAAAGAAAAGTTCTGAAGTAACAAGCAGATTTCTAAAAAACAAATTTCTACATAACTACTAACAAAATTTCTTATTTCAAATGGACCTGACTTGAAATCCATACGATCTTGACGTTCACTGATATCTCTACTAGCCTAATGGCAAGTTGTTAGTTTGGTCAAGAAGAAAAAGACCTTCCTGGCTTAATAAAAACATTTCTTGACACAAACTCCATTTTCAGTAAGCTTGAGTTTTCATACTGTGTAACCCAAAGAAAGGGATTTTCCAGATAAAGTGCCTTGATAAAGCCAAACAACCAATGCACAACAGCTTTATACTGACTTTTTCCTTCCAAGTCACTTAAACTATAAAAAGAAAAAAAGAGAAAAACTATTTATGTCCTTACTTAGAAAATGTAATTAAAATTAGATTAATTATTCTGTTCCCTCAGACCACTGCTCTCAGGTACTGGTCCAGCAGAGGCAGATCTATCCAGTAGCATATAAAAACTGCATAAACCCAATAAATAAATACATGTTCCAGCCCAAAGTAATGATTTAGGTCAGGCTGGGACTGGTGGCAAAGAAGAGGAGTTGCACATTTAGGTCATTTCTCAAAACAGCATATAAATCTTCTAGAGTAATTTACAAAAAAAAAAAAAAAAAAATCAAACTTGAAAGCAGAAGAATTGGTTGTAGCTAGGTTACTTTTAAAGCTTTCTCCATAGCACTTGCAAGGTACCCAAAAATGATGATAGTGAAGTGCAATCCCATACTACCTGTATATACAGACAAAATCAGGCATTTGAAGACGTATAGAAATACAACTTCTATTTCTTAAGTCATGAGGTGACATGGTGGTATGAACCTTTGGAATATCTAATATAACCTCTATTTCTACATTCTCTGTAGCCTTTAAACTAGGAAATTGTTGGAACTGTTGGAAGGAGAAAAAGAAAAGAAAAAAAAAACAGTAAAAAAACTACACCCACAGAAAAGACTAAATCCCATTCTTACTCATACTGTATTGTAAAACACCAAAAAGGGTACTTCAGTGGACATGCATTTCTCATTTGTAGGAGAACTTTAAAAGGAAAACCACTGAAGGGTCTTTTTTCTTCGGAATAAAGTAGTATTTTTTACATAGTATGCATCTTTGCTTCTTTCAGACACAAAATCACTTTTTGTGATAATTCACACTCTGATTTTCCATCTCAGAACTATAACTATCCCTGAGTACAATTTTTCACAAAGTAGGAATTCATAAATTACTTTTATCATACAAATTTTAAAATAATGACACAAAATCATGTAGATATACGGAAAATGCATGCTGCTCTGATTTCTTCAATCTATTATATATTGTTGAATTTGTAGGCTGGAATTTCAGTAACATGATTACCATAATTATTCTATGGAAGAAATAAAGCAGTTTCACTTTTTACTTTTTGTAAGCAAGACTGTAGAATGATTTCCCATTGTATTTTAAGTATATTATTTCTGATATTCTTTGCACATAGTGTTTCTGGTCCTCAAATTTCTACAGTACTTCATTCTGTCCACATTTGGACAAAAGATCTGTTAGTTAATCTGAGCTGCTAACTAATCTGAGCCATTAGCTAATCTGAGCTTGGTTCTCCATATCTTTATTATGGCTGTTATGCAGTGGTCTATTTGCATGAATATTTGCATGATAAAGTCCATTTCCTCTCCTCATATAGTTTCATACGTTTGAGAACTGCAATTGATGAAGCAGTGTTTCAAAGCTTGCGATGTGGATATAAACAGTTTAAATCTTTTCATTGTATATATGCCACTGTACCAAACAGAGCTCTGATTTTAGATGGTGTTTTATTACCAGGTACTGTAAAAATTGAAGTGACTTTTAAAACCACATCAAGTCTACTATCATCAAGTTACTATTCCATTAATGTGCAATACATCAATATAGACCAAACTTGAAGACTATGTTTTATACATCACTGTGATTACGGGCTGCTCACAGCACATAAAGGTGGATGTTGTTAGAAAATAAGATTATCATCAAATAAAAGTTGTATGCACAAAATCAAGTTTTAAATCACATTTCATAGCGTTTTCCCAATCTAAGAACCACAAAAAAAGTATTTTTTTTAATGTATGAGTGTATATGTATGCACGAACTGATTATTAAAGTATCTGATACAAGGATGAAATCTGGAATGTTCCAAACTCAAATTTCCCACTGATTTCAGATGATATAGTATTGCAAAAATATTTTCAATAACAGTAAGAGAGCAGAAATAGATTAAGTAACTTAAGTTCATAGAAGACTGCTTGCCTAGGAATACACTTTATCGGAGATTTAAAAGAAGGGAGAAGAGTTAGTTTTTGATGATTCTTAAAATAATAGGGATTTGTGGACGTAACAAAAAAGCTTGGCTTGAGGATACAAATAACGGGCTCAGCTATCTGTGAGAAAAGTAACTAAAGTAATAAAAAATGAAACAAAGCAAAGAAATAAACTCACTACATAGTTCAAAGTAAATTTAATCTCTTCTTCAACTCATGATGGCATGACAAATTCAGTTTGTATCTGTATGTTCGGCTAACTGACAGAAAACTAGAAGCTAGTAAATGGCACGCTAAAATAAAAAAAACAGTCACAAGAACTCTTTAACATAGCTGCAAATGAATAGAATTTTCAGACAGTAACCTGATCACCAGACGCTCTCAGTGAAAACATTTATACTAGAATTTTACAAGCTTTATTAGTCATTTTAACCATTAATAAACAATTGTCAATTTTATTAGACTGTTCACTTTCTGCATTCTCCAGTACAATCCAGTGTTACAACCTCAGTTAACATCCCATGAAATTCAATTCTTAACTTTAAGAGAAAATATCTGTTAAAAGTTTACAGCAGAAAGGAACAAGTTTCTGTTGGACAGAGGAAAATGGTTAACATGTTGGGCCAAATCTGCTCTGATCTATGGTGAAATAAATCCTTCTCTAATTGAAGATTGGAATTCGCTGCTGACATACTCATCCTGGCAGATACCCAGGACTTGAGAGGTTAGGATTGTTAGGGCCTCAAAACAACATTACCTATCTACTATTACTATAAGCCTTAAACTATAATATCTATTTATAAAAGTGCTGGTTTTGCATACTGTGATAAATCCAATGTTCTCACAGACCTTTAATTTTGCTATATAGACAAGCACTTGATTTCACAGATGTACATTACTGTAGCAACAATTCCATTCAAATGCATCAATGCTTTTTAAAAAAAATCATCCAAAATTGTCTTTTTTAGAATTATATATTGCTAACTACAGTCACTCAAAACAACCTACTGCTTTCCTAAAGTGAGACGTTATGCTGTTTTTATTTGTGCTATCATCTCTCTAGTTGCAGATAACTTTATTTAGGTACAAACATAATTGAAAAGATCTGTGAGTTGACACTGCACTCTGACCAGGGTCCAGCAGATGGCACACACAGAAAATTTATTCATGCAACAAGAACAGCTTATGCATTATCAAAGTCCCTGTTGATATAAAAAAGCTAAAAGCCAACAGACTCCTATGGTCTTCCTCAGTTATTAAACACTGCTTTAGGAAGACGCGGAGTCATTCTAGAGTCACTGAAAGTGTAGAGGTGGACAGAAAACTAACCACCAATAGTATGGACAGAATTTATTTGCATTATTCTAGTTAGCACTGGCATTAGAACATGCTTTTCAATTATCACTTTTTCTAAAACTGTTCTCCCAGTCTACTTGAGTGGAATCTGTATGTATCATTTGGCATCAAGACTGACAGAACCCTGCTTAGTAAGTTTCAAAATTATTTCTGAGA